TGAGTGAGTCTCAGTAATATCTTTGATGTTCATTCCTGTAGAGTATCTGTGGGTCGTGTGAGCAATGACATGCCTGGCAGAAGCTGAGGGAGCAGCCCGCTGGCCGTGAGTGCAGTACATTCACCTCTTACAATCTCAGTAGAGGACTGGATTTAGTGTTTTTGTACCTGCCCTGAAGACCAAAGGTGACTCCATAAGTGAAAAGAAGCGGTTCCTTTTCCCAGCTGTAACTCCTGCAGAAGGCCACATTTGGTGCAGTTGCGTGGAGATGTCTTCCCTGGCCCTTTAGGCTGCGTGGGAGGCCACAGCCATATCCCAGCCTCCTTTCTGAGGATCATGGAGCAATTTTTTCCGTGTTCTGTTCACTCCAAAATGGAGCATTCCAAAATTTCCAATCTTCTAATTCTAAGAGTGGTTTCCTTGACTACTGGTGTAATAATCCTTCTGCCATAGATTGTCAACAGCCTCCCACACAAGGAAATTCTTCTAACATCTCTGTAGTTAAGGCATTTGTCTGTCTTCTTACCATCCAAAGTTCTTGACTTGTGTCTGACGCACTAAATATGTAAAGTTTTGTCTTTCATGGGTTTTGTTTGTTTTGTTTTATTTGTTGGGTATTTTTTCCTTCTGATATTAATGCAGCCTCTTTGAAGCATGCTTTGGTTTTGTTCTGTTTTTATGACTTGTTCCACTCGCTTTCCTTCAGCTGCAGTGGAAAGAATTAAGTTCAGCTATAGCCGTGATTAAAATCTTGCATTAATTGAGTTGCAAATTTGTGATGACAGAAATTTGTCAGTGTGCTGATGACATGTACCTCCTTGCATTCCTGCTACCTTTCTGAATCCTGATGATGCTGTACAGTTTTACCATTCATTATGTTCATTTCTTCTCTTTCTCTCTCTTCCCTGCATGAAGCTCAGCACAGGGTGTAAATTGCTTTTTCCATGATAGAGTGACTGTTAATTAGCTGTCATGAGACCTGTCTTGCCTTTCCCTTAGGTGCCTCTGGCTTATTCTCATCATGCCAGCATCCAAATGCCATTAGGTTTCCAATACTAGGAGGGCCATTGCCCATTCCTGTGTGGTTTTTATTGGGGTTTTCTTCAGGGACGATTTATAGTGTTGATAGGCATGGCCAAAATAACTGCAAACTGAGAAACCGGAGAGGAAATCTATTAATTAGACTAATAGGGGATGACGTTGTATGGGGTACAAGGGATATATGATCAGTAGTAATGCTTTTTTCCTCCACTTCTCAAGGTGAATAACAACCTGTTTTCATGGCAGTACTCCTTAATAGCATTGCCAGGGAAAGCTGTGTGATTTAGTCTTTTTACTGATTTTACTGAGTTTTGTTTGAGGTTTGGTGTTTCTGGCTGATACAGGTGCTAACAGTGTTTTGGGAAAATCCTACAAAGGAGTAGAAATTGCAGTAAAAATAATAATTGATTAGGCAAACATGGTCAGTAATTCTCTCTAGCCCTTCAGAAGTATATTGTTATAAAGGCTCTCAGGTGCTGAGTTTTAGTAAAGAAATCTCGTGGCCCTGATGGTGTTTGTATTACATATCTGTATCGTATCATATAATCTGTTTTGTATGCTGAGAGCTCAGAGTGGAAAAGATGGAAACACAGTTAGATTGTCACTTGTTTCCAATGAAAAAATCTCTGCTTGGTGGAACTGTTTGCATTCCTGTGGTCAGTGGTATAAGGAAATACCATGTTATGAAAAACTCCCAATTGTTTCCTTAAGGGCTCTTCTAGAATTGCACAATCTTCTGATGGTTTGTTTGTGATTTAACAACAACGACAACAAAATAAAAATTAAAAATAAAAAAAATTGCCCTCTCTAGTTCAGAACTCAGAATTCCCTTAAATGTTTACCAGGGCCTTGCTTTTTATACTCAAGGTTTGGATTCAAAACAGAAGTGTATTTTCTTAATGTACACTGATCAACCATTATAATAGGAGTAGCTGAAGGTTATATTTTTGTTCCAAAGGGTGGTTCTTTGGGATATCCCATCAGTTCCTTTACTACTCATCATAGTGATTACTCCTGGTTTCTGGATGCAGCTCTAAAACAATACTTCTGAGTGACTGGGGAAAACTCTCAAATAACCAAGTGGCTTTCACCAAACCCTCAAGAAGTGAAATGGTATCTCTGACACAAATCGTTTTATCCTGTAGGCTGAAGCCTTCTAACATTTAATTTTTTCTCTTCCTGTATTCTGTCAGGATTTGTGCAATATGCCTAATTCCTGACATATGCATTAATTCATATGTATTCCAATTTTTCAGAGCTGCTCATGTTCAGTATTTGTCTTATTGCTGCCACATCTTGAGTTAAAGTCAATTTCTCTTCCTAGTTTATTCATCCAAGAATTTCTTTCTGTTATTTTCCCTGCACTGAAAGGTGGCTTTGAGCTTAATATTTACTATGTGACTGTTAGTCCTTTTCATAACTTTTTCCCATTCTTGATAACATCTTTATTCTTCATTATTAGACACACAATTTCATTTAGGCTGTAGAGGCATTTAATTAATATTAGCATAGTGAATGAAGGCTATGTGCAGTGCTAAGCTCAGTGAAACCAAAGGTTATCTTACCTTCCTGAACGGTAGAAGGAGTGGGCTTAGGCCAGTTAAGCTGAATTAGGACATGGCACAAAATGTCAAGGTAATTTCATCATTGTTGGGTGGATTTTTTGTTGTTGGGCCCTGGGCTTGACAGCACTGCGGAGAACATTAAATTTTTATACTGAAGGGTGGTCACCCACAGCCCTTGAGAAACCGTAACAGCCAGCCCTGCAAAACCAGGTCTTGGCTGTGCTTAAAATAACTGATCAAGGACTGGCATAGAAATAGCGTTCCCTTATCGCAGGCAGCGTGAAGTAGGTGAAAAATAAACCATACTCACACTGAGAATAAGCAGTCACGTTTACAGTGTTTAAATTCCTGATGCTGCAGAGCACTCCAGCTCAACACGTGTTGGTGCCAATGGTCGTCCACTGCCTCCCCAGCACCACTGCTTTGTGAGCTCTGCCAGTGTGCAAATGTGCCCCAGCCCTGCAGGGAGCTCCTGGCCCCAGGCTGCGTTCCTCTTGTGTCTGAAGGGAGGGGAATTGTGCTGTGGCTTTGCACCTGTACTGCTGATGCTGAATATAAAACATCCTTCACACTGAAGTACACATTTGTTGAAAGCAGTGCTGTATTTATTGCAACATTCAATTGCAAGGACTTTGTTTAGCACAATAACTCAGGGGAAAGCAGACTGAGCACACATGCAGTAATATTTCATTTTGACTCTTGTGGAGAACTTTTTTGTTTTGGAGTATCTTATGACAATTGTCACACATTAGTTTTGTGTAATTCTATTTACTTTTTGTGCATGTTGATTTATTTATTTATTTATTGGAAGTCGGTTCTTTGCAGTTGAAACTCTGATTTAGTGATGAAGAATGGGACAGCCAATGTGCTAAAATGTTGAACCTTTTAAATCAAAGAATCACAGAATGGCCAGGGTTGGAAGGAACCCCAAGGATCATGAATCTCCAACCCCCCTTGCCACATGCAGGCCATATGCAACCTCCCCATTTAATGCTAAACCAGGCTGCCCAGGGCCCCATCCAATCTGGCCTTGAACACTTCCAGGGATGGGGCATCCACAACCTCTCTGGGCAGCCTGTTCCAGTACCTCACTGCTCTCTCCGTAAAGAATTTCCCCCTGACATCCAACCTAAATCTTCCCTCCTTCAACTTAAAACCATTTCCACTTGTCCTGCAGTTATCAACCCTTTCAAAGAGTTGATTCCCCTCCCCTCTGTAGGCTCCCTTTAGGTATTGAAATGCTGCAATGAGGTCACCTCTCAGCCTTCTTTTCTCCAGGCTGAACAAGCCCAGCTTCCTCAGCCTGTCCTCATAGGGCAGGAGCTCCAGTCCCCTGATCATCTTCATGGCCCTCCTCTGGACCCTCTCCAACAGCTCCCAGTTATTTTGAAATATTTGTATATGCTGACAAGACCAAAGCAGTAATGCTTGAGGGTAGTGTACTGAAGTCGTGCAAGAGTAACAACAGAGAGCTGATAGTGGTTGAAGTAGCATTAAGTGAATACAAATGGTCACAGTTTGGAAAGAAGCAGCACAAGTCCTTGATGGGTAGATGGATCTCAGTGTTTTCACCATGCATAAAATGTCTACTTTGCAATGTATAGGTCTTAAAAAAAAAAAATCATGATATATTTATTTGTTTATTTATTTTTAATGCATGGATGCATCCAGGAGTCTGGCCTCTGTCCATCAGGAAATTTCTTTTCCTCAGAGAAGTGGATGGGGGAAAAGGGAAGATGATGGAAATGGATTTTCTTGGGTTCTACTGAAGATAATTTGTGCTCAGAGACAGAGAAGACAAAAGATGACGGAAGTGAACAATTGCTTTTTTATTTACGGGTTTTACTTTCATGTTAAAAGATGAAGGTGAGAGGAGAACCCATAGCTGCTCAGTGGTGGGAAGGGGTCAGTGAAGGGCAGTTGTTGCCTTATGAACTTGTCATACCAGCGGCTACGTAGTTGTCAGCCTTCAAAGAGGTACTGTGTTCCCCTTTTTTTTTCACTCCTGCCCTGGTCAGAGTTAGCTCAGCAGTGCAGTGGGAGCTGTGCTCCTCTGATGTTCAGCTTCTGAGAGGCGAGGAGAGGGGCTGTGGTGGCTATGCCCTATTGCAAGCATTCAGCAGGTAGCTGGATTTTGTTTCTGTTTGCAACCTGGTGTGTGCAAGGCTGGATTTCTACCCAGGAGCTCCTTGAGGTTTCCCTGTGCTGTGTTTTTTTTTTTTTAATATGAAGAATGCGCTGTGTAGTATCAAAGTAATTCAATGAAATAGTCCAAAAAGGATTCAAGAAACCTAACGTTGTGTGAATTCTGCTTTACGTTTTAAATGTATAGTATATTCCAGTAATACCAAAAAGCCTTCCAGAAGTCAATAATCTCTTTCTTCTGCTTTACAGGTCAACTACATTAATAGAGCAAGGAGAGCTGTGGAAAAAATCAAGGTACCTAAAGCACTTTATTACCTGAATTCTTGGCTGTGGTCTCGCTGGTCTTTCGGTGTAATGATTTTAACTGGGGGTCTGGGAGTTGGCTGAGCTAGCAGACTGCCACTTTAAGGCAGTCTTATTAAAGTAATTGTGGTTTTTATCTGCACGTTTTGATGTCACTAAGGTTGTGTAAAATACTTCTGTGGGGAAGAAATAGTGCATTAGCTCTGGGATGAGTACAGGAACATGTGCTGGTGCTGCCCACCTGTATGGCTGTGTGCTCACAGCTGGGTAAGCACTAGCCCAGGTAAGCCAAAGCATTGCTTGCAGCTTGAACTTTTTTTATTTTTATTTATTTTGATGAATTGGAGAAGGTTTATCTCTTTTGTTTGCCACTCTGTTGCTTTTTTGTGGGGTTTTGTTTTGTTTTTTTTTGAGAGGGAAGGAGGATGTAGGAGGGACAGGCAGAGCTGTAGCAGATGTTAGTCATCGAACTCCATCTCCCTAAATAAAGTCATATCCATGAAGGAGAAACTGCTTTAATAGGAAGGGGTAAAGTATAGCAAAATTATCTATGCCCATTGACTGTCTATTGAGTTGGAACGTAAGCTCTTCTACACACCTTGCAAATGCCAAAGTCCGATACAGGCAGGAGTAAGGTTCATACAGAAGTAATCTCCCAAACTTTTAACACATCTCTTAGAGATTGTTTATACCAAAGATTTGTTTTGGCTTTGTGAAGAGGAAAAAAATAGTAGATGTTTTCCTTTTGAATGGCGTCTGCAGAGGGTGGGAAGGTGAAAGAAGGGCAGAGCAGCCCTCAGCGCTGCTAAAAATGCAGGGTGTCTGGCTTCTGCCTGGCAGAGGGCAATTACACTGACACAGCAGGTGTTGCAGTACTTCTCCACTTAGTTGCTTGCACAGAACTGGCAATATAGAAGAGGAATTTTGTCCCAGAGTGAAGCGATGGAGTTAGCTGTGGTGTGTCCATCGGCGGTGCCTTTCTTTTCAAGGAGCAGAGCGATTCCTTAGCTGTTTGGCTTTGGTTTAGATGCCCTCTTCCCCCATTAAAGCTATGTCTTCTACAGTGCCTAGGGTGCTCACCGTGCCAGCATACGTCCTCCTGTCTGGTCAGGCTGCAGGCACGGTACTTACTCCCTGCAAGACAAGAGCTGGAAGAACATTAGGGAAGGAATTTGTGTGCAACTGGAAAAGAGATAGAAGTGAGCCTCAGACGTTTTTATCTGGCATCTTGGTGCTGAAGGAGAGGTTTCTATCTCCTCGCCCAATTTAGACAGGAGATTTTACTCCAGACATCGTCTTGCTCCTGACTGTGTAAAACCTGTCAGATCCTTTTCCTGACACTTTCTCCCCCATCGGTCCCTCAAAAAGACTTCAAAAGAGATTTTTCCCTATTGGAAAAGGAACCAGACATGGCCTTTCTTACTTGCCCTGCTCTGAAACATTGATAAGTAACATGTGGCTGGCTCCATGCTGCAGACTTTCCCAGCCGTTTAAGAAAACACCACTAATCGCTCCGTGTTAAAAGAAACCATAGGATCCTTCTCCCTCCTTTGCCATTGCTCATTTGCGTAATGTATCCCAAGAGCTTTGATTCCCTTCTGTCTGAAGCTGTCAGGATTCACTAATGTCTTTCTTTGATTCACACATGCTGAAAAGAAATTTTTTTTTTCAATTTTTCAGTGTTGGAAGAGATTCTCTATTCATGACGTGTGGTACAATGTGTAAGCTTTGACTTTTTTTCCATAATGCCTTTTGGACTGTCACTGTTTTGAGCATTTACTTCAGAAGTGCCCTCGCAGAAAGAAAAATATTATTTTTAAAGCTGGAGACCGAGCAAGAAGAGCCTGGAATCCAAATCCACTGTCTTGCGTAATTGTTTAAACCTGCTGCGCTGTTTGGCAAAGGCCTGCACTGAGAGGGCTTTTCCATTAAATGAAGCTGAGGGTTTGTCTTCAAAGAGAGGGGCTGCCTGAGGACGGTCTCTGATCCCTTTAATATGAACAGGGCTTGCATGAAAGGCAAGGTGGTAGATGCAGAAGAATGTAACCTGGGGGCTTGGGTTTGCTCACTCACATCAGGCCTCTGCATTGCATTGTAAAAATGGAAGAACGTGGCTAAACTGCTGCCTCTTCTTCTTTCCTGCCTTGTTTGAGCATCAGGCTGAAAGCAAATGGTTCAAAAATACAGTCAGATGGAAGATTAATGTAAGGCTGTGTCCAAATTTCTTGCCTAAATAGATTTAGAGGGAGGAAGAAAAAAGCTCAGCCGTGCCCTGAAGTGCAGAGAAGCATTACCCAGAAGCACTGAGCCTGCTTAGATAAAATTGTGCTGATCCTGAGCTGTGGGGCCAATTGCGTCTGCCTCTCTTCTGCCTGCACAGCCCCTGTCAAGAGATGCTTGTGAAGCTGTGGGGGCTTTTGCTTTTTGAGAACAGTGGGTGATGTCCCTCTTGGATGCAGCGTGCTTCTAAGGTCCAGGGGACATTACTAACTTTGCTAGAAATTGAAGTTTGAAACACCTTACACGTAGCACTGAGGACAAGGTCGCGGTAGGGCAGTCTGAGGCAGCTACCAAAGTATTTTTATATTTTACCAGTGTCTGAACTGATAAAGCTTTTTGCCTCTGTCCTACTCAGAGTGTCAGTGGGCTACTCTGCTTGTGTGGTTCAGGTTCCATTGCAGGGTGACCATGCCGGTGCAGGTGAAGGTCGTGCCTCTTGCCCGGCTGCTTTGAGCTATGGAGCCCTGGGCCTTCAGAGCCCACATGGGGATGAGGTGGTGCTTGTGGGGCTATTTTAAGCAAGCACTTGTGTGATTTATTTTTTTTCTACCCAACACATCTTTCAACACATCTGTCTCTTACACTGAGTGTAGGAGTCTCTATTTTTCTACCAACCTTCGCCCTTCCAGGCCAGCAATTGTGATGACCATTGACTCAAAATCCATTCAATTTCACTCCTTCTCAGGCTCTAGCAGTAGGAAATTAGTATTTACTCCTGGACATATGCCATTTCAGGCAAGCACAAAAAGTTTGTCCTTCCCCTTCCATCAGTTACCAGCCCTGACCGTTCTTTAGTATCTGAGGCCTGGGATCCTGCTGAACGTGATTTCCTTGTCCCCATGGAGCCCTGAGCCTCATGCACGGCTTTCTTCTTTCAGTCACCTTTCTAATCTTGGCCATTTTAAGTGCCCAGGTAGCACTCTTCAAACATCAAAGACTCGATAGTCACATCTACATGAATAGCAAAGCAGGATATGGGATTCAAATGTATTTCTGCCTGAGATGCCCGTTCCCAGTAAATATTCGTGAAAATAAGTTGGACTCGCATCCACTAACAAAAACAAAATTAAGCATGCAGCTCGGCTCATGCACATTGCATAAAATAATGGTGTAATCTGATGCCTCATTCTCTGCTGTGGATCAGTTTGAAGCTTTTTTTCACTAGCATGAGAAGTTCAGGTCAAGAAAGTCTCTCAGTCTTCAAATTAACCTTTTCACTAAATATTTGTAAATGCGGACAGTAGTGTTTGTTCGTGCTCTGTCTGCACTCAGCGTTCTTTTTCACTTTGATTGGAAAAGAAGAGCTGTACGTAGCATGAAGACAGTTATATTGTTCTGTACCTCTCTGGAACTAGCGTTCCTCATTTGTTGGCATGCTTGCCTGTTGAGGTGAAAAAACTTTCTGAAGCTCTTGCTGGGCTGGCTGTAGCCATGAGCTGTGCTGGTGCCTGCACTGAACCCGGCTGTGCACTGTGACCAGTTGCATCAAAGCATTGGAGCTCTGCCCAGATAGTCATAAACAAATGAAATGCGATGTGAGATATATATTGCGCAAGCTAAAGTAATCAAAGAGAACATAAAAAAGACAAAAGGAGATCCTGTTTGTTTCTACAGTTGTTGTAGAACAACTTTCTCCTGAAAAAGCACTTCTTTGTTTGTACCTCCCGTTGCTTTATTACACATATGACAGCGTTGTGTGGTTTAGGTTTGTGAGAAACATTTTTGGCGTGGGTTGCCATTAAAAAGTAGGACCTGGCTCTTTGTGCCTTCAGCACCAAGCCATGATTGCTCCATCTCAAGAGAGCCAAAACGAAAGCTGCTCTGGCAGGACCAGACTAAACTTGATCCCTCGCACCACTTTTCTCATCACCATGGAAAACTGTAAGAGGAAAGCTTAGTGGAGGATGAGGAGGCTTTCAAAGTAAAATGAAAGACATCATCTTGGGATGCTGCTAGAATTGCTGCTCCTTCTGTGATCCGTTGTCTCAAGCAAGGCTTAAGCAAGTTCATGCAACTTTATAAACTGTTAATAGACGACCCCAGGGCTTGTGCAGAATTTCTGTAGATACAGTTCTCGTTATGGATTTAGGAAAAAAAAAGACAAAAATGTCAAAGACATTTTTTTCATGAAGTTTAAATCCCGAATCTTGGGTGCTGCCCTGTTTTTCCGCAAGTGCCTGGAAGGTATTGAAGAGCACTGGAAGACTCACTGCTCTTTTCCCCTTCCCTTTCCTATGCCACTGTTGTGGAAACGGTTGTCTGCCAGCAGGCAAGTTTCTATATTGCATTCTCTGGCAAATTCCTTGGGCTGTGCGATAAAGCAGTTTCATGCTAAGCGGGAGGAGGAAGAGGACAGAATGAATGGAAAGTCTCTGACTGCACTGGGGCTGGAGGAGCTTTGTTGTCATTTCCAGAGGGAATTTTGGGGAGGGAATGCAGCCGAGCAGTGGGAGGGAAGCAGTGGAGCTCTGGATTGCAGCAAACAACAAAAATTTGTCGGTTTTCAGCTTTCTCAGTTGACACAAACAGACTGTTAAAAGTTAGTAGTACAGATTGTGTTATCTCATTCCATTAATTATGAATTAACGAAGACCAGCTCTGGAAAAATGAGGTGATGTAATTATTCACCAGCTTGTGATATGCTCATCAGATTTTCAGCTATTACTTTAAGATGTTGGAATTGAAGCTGGAAATGCTCATTTAAAATTTCA